TACGGGTACAGGGGGTCCATGGGACAGGGGTGCAGGAGGAATGGAGGTCTAGGGGGACGGGGATCTGTGGGACGGGGTGCAGGGGGAGCGGGGGTCTGGGGGGATGGGGGTGCAGGGGAAGCGGGGACCTGGGGGGACGGGGAGTACAGGGGGTCCATGGGACGGGGACAGGGGCACGGGGGCGCAGGACACTCACCACCAGCAGGGCAAAGAGAATGACCCCGCAGCTCCACATGTCGGCCCGGCGCCCATCGTATTTCTCACCCTGCGTGGCACAGACACAGGGTTAGGACTGGAAGGGGGCTCCCCGGGAACTCCCCCAGCCCCCCCTCTGGGACAGCCCCCGCTCCCCAGGGCACAGACTCTGCCCCCCGCCCCTCCCTGAGGACCGAACCCCCAAACAAGTGAGACCACAGGCCCCCAGGACGAGGGGGAGGGGCCAGGCTAGGAACAGAGTGGGGGGGGGAAGGGAGAGAGGGATCCACAGCCTGGCCCCCTCCCCGGGGAAAAGACCCAGCCCCAGCCCCACCCACTATGAGGGAACCCCCCCTGCCCCCACCCCGTGCCTCCCATCCCCCGGCCGCGCTCAGCACCCAGCCGCCTTCAACAGTGTCTGTCCCCCCCACCCATCCACACCCACCTAGATACCAGGCTACATGGGTCGTGGGGCTGGCTTGTGGGGCAGGAAGGGGCAGGACACAGGGGTCAATGGGCCATGGGAATAGCATATGGGGCAGAGGGGGGAGGGCTATGGGGGTCAATGGGCCATCGCGTAGGGAGTGGCAGGATACCAAGGTCGATGGGCTATGGGGCTGGCGTGTGGGGCAGGACACGGGTCAATGAGCTGTGGGACTGGCATGTGGGGCAGGGAGGGAGCGGGATATGGGGGTTGACGGGCCGTGGGTCACAGAGGGGCAGGATATGGGGGTTGATGGGCCGTGGAGCTGGCGTGTGGGGCAGGGAGGGGGTGGGATATTGGGGTCAATGGGTCGTGGGTCAGGGAGCTGGCGGGATACCAGGGTTGATGGGCCGTGGGGCTGGCGTATGGGGCAGGGAGGGGGCGGGATATGGGGGTTGATGGGCCGTGGGTCAGGGAGGGGGCAGGATATGGGGGTCGACGGGCCGTGGGTCAGGGAGGGGCAGGATATGGGGGTCGATGGGCCGTGGGGCTGGCGTGTGGGGCAGGGAGGGGGTGGGATATTGGGGTCGATGGGCCGTGGGGCAGGGAGGGGGCGGGATATGGGGGTCGATGGGCCGTGGGGCTGGCGTGTGGGGCAGGGCGGGGCGGGACTCCGTGACTTACCTTGATCACCTCGGGACATGCATAGTGGGGAGAGCTGGGGGGCCAGCAATGGGGGAAGAAGAGAGAGACAGACAGACAGACAGAGGGAGAGACAGAGTGAAAAGGAGGCTCAGGCCCGGGGAGGGGGCGGCTGAGTCACACAGGCCCCGCCCCCTCACCCCACACCTCCCCATGGATGCCCCGCCCCACCCCCAGCCGGGAGGGGGGGCGCCGAGGGAGACAGCGCCTCCAGCAGACCCTCCTCCCTGCCGGCCAGTCCTCCGAGACCCCCGCGGATCTCAGCCTCCCTGCCCTGCCCCGCCAGCCCCCCACCCCGTGGGGCTCACCCACAGCTGGTCTCCAGCAGGCTGGCCCCGACCTGCAGGGACGCCATCCCGAAGTCCGCGATCCGGATGTTGTTCTTCTCGTCCAGCAGCAGGTTCTCCGGCTTGAGGTCACGGTGGCTGCACCAGGGCAGAGGGAGGGTTAGAGACCCTCGGGGGGGCTAAGAACCGGCCCTGACCCCCAGTGCAAACAGGAGTGACTCTGGATTGACCCTGGGGGGCTGAGATCAGAAACCTATCCCCAGTGCAAACAGGAGTGACTCCAGATTGACCCTTGGGGACCTGAGATCATAACCCTATCCCCATTGGAAACCGGAGTGATTTCAGATTGACCCCACGGGGCGGAGATCAGAACTTGGCCGTGCCCCCATTGTAGTCGGGGTGACTCCGGATTGATCCAGGGGGCTGAGAGCAGACTGAACCTGCCCCCAGTGCAAACAGGGGTGACTCCAAATCAATCCGGGGGGGGAGGAGGGAGGGTCAGCTCAGAACCCGGCCCGGCCCCCAAACCCATCACTCATGGTGAGGGGGAAAAGGAGAGGATAAAGGACATACTACTGCTCCCAGCGAGGGAAGCACTGCCTGAGCAGGAGTGGGGAGAACAGGGGGGGAGGTAGGGGTCATAGGGCCGGGAAGGGCTATGGCCGATTGCTGGGGGGGCTGTCACGGGGCCGGGGGGGCTGTGGCGTGTGGGGCAGGACACGGGTCAATGAGCTGTGGGACTGGCATGTGGGGCAGGGAGGGAGCGGGATATGGGGGTTGACGGGCCGTGGGTCAC